TCCTGCCCGCATCAGCATTTCGCCCTGCTGGCTGGAATCCACAGCTCCAGCCTTCAGCTCTCTAGCCCTCCGTCTGGAACACAGCCTGCGGTGGCTTCTGGTGTTCCTGAGCAACCTTCAACCCCAGAATAGGCTCTTGGGGGTCAGTGCGATTTCAGAAGAGCTAGATTCCTGTGAGTCTCCCCAAAACCCTTCAGAACCTCAGGGCTAAAGGAGCAGAGCTGGAGGAAGACATTGGTCTCGATCTCCTAACCATGGCCCCTGTCTGGGAGGGGTGATTAAAGGGGTTGAACACAGTCCCAGCACTTGTTAACCTGCTGTCACTGCAGAAGGGACCCAGCCTGGGTTACCGGAGGCTTTGCCCATTAGGAGAGGCCTTAGGGTATTCCCCTGCCTCTGTACATCAAGGGTTTTCTGAGCACACCGTCCCTCCAAGCATGCAACGCCCACCTGGGGTTGCCTTCTCCTACCCTACGAAGACCAGGGCCAACCACAGACCCTGAACTCTGAGCCGCAGGCCCCCACCCGCCCACCTGCTCAGCCTCTGCCCTTATCTCGGCAGCAGCTTTGTGGGACTCCTTAGGGTGACTCGCTGCCATGAGAAACATTTTCCAAAGGGTTTTCCTCACTAGTTTTGGAATCCCTGAGTCACTTCAGCTTCCAGGGAATCCTTGGGGGTGTGGAGACATGGGAGTGGCAACAGGGAGAATGCTGGAGGCGGGAACAAAGGAAAGTTTGCCTGGCACCTGACATCAAAGGCACCCTCCTGACATGTCCTCACCTGCCTGCACCTGACGTTTCAGCCAAAAAAGGCTTGCTGGGGTTCCTACGTCAGGGCCCTGGAAAAGGGCAGAGCTATGGTGGAATTCACTTCCCACCCTTATCTGGAAAGCCTCTTGGGGTTTGCAGGAAGATATGCTGTCCTGCCCCTTTCTCTGAGAGACACTCAAGTCCTCACTGCTGCCTTGCAGCCTTGGCCCTGGCTCAGGCCAGTTCCTGACCTTGGGCACCCTCTCTGCTCCTTTCTCCTCATTCCTAGAAATGTAGCATCTAGGTGGAGGGCCCAAGGGCGTTGATTGGGAGGATTACAAAGGGGCCAACCAGCTTAATTGCTCTAGACCTCAGCTCCTGAAATAGTGCTAAACCCACTTGGCAGGGTCTATGGTACTCAACTGCGCTGACCTTTGTGAGCCTGGGGCACTGATGCTAAAATGTTGAGATGCTTTGGGACCAGCACATGGTATACTGGTTATGTCACTGGACTCCCACACAGTCAAATGCGGTTGGAGTCCCGGACCTGGCGACTTGAAACATGCCAGACACGTGTGCGTGCGTGCGCCCAAAATCCCCAGAGGAGAGTGGAGGAAAAGGGATTGCAGCGTGGCCATCGCCCCTGGGGATTGATTTCTGGCTTCCTGTCTCTCTCTGTCTCTCTCTGTCTCTCTAGCAAGCACACAAGCCCTACAGCAAAAATCTCTCCGAAAATAAAAAATAAAAAGTTGAAATGCTTTTGCACCAGGGCTGGCAGGTGGCGTGGTAGTTAAGGGCACTGGACTCCCACATAGGTGACCACAGTTTGAGCCCCGGACCTGGTGGCTTTCTCTCTCTCTTTCTCTCTCTGTCTCTCCCTCTCTCTCTGTCTGTCTTTCTCGCCAAATTAAAATAAATAAGCAAATAAAATAAATAAAGTTAAATAATTCTTTTT